TTTACATCATTTCACGACAGCGGAAAGCTGCAAAAGTCCACGGTGCTACAGAAAAAAGTTTACGTAACAATTACGAATAACTTGTACTGCACTGCATTACACAGTATGTGACAGCATGCAAACTTTTAATTGTTGTCTGGCCACGCCCCCTTGACGATGGCAGCTAAAAACATTTTTAAAGCATACTACAGTAGTACACTACCTTTTTACAAAACAGGAGATATTTTTGAATTTGGAGGCGGAAAATGTTCCCTGGTCAGCCATTCGGCTGCGAGAAAAATTTTTTAAAAAATTGATTTTCTGAGATGTAATTGGCTTTACATGACATACGTCTTCGTTATATGCTGACATCCCGCGGGCCAATTGGTGAGTCAGTATTTCTAGCTGGGGTCAAGGCCATACGTAAACCCGCCCTGGCACCACTGGTATCACTCCCACAGATTCTCAGCTGCAGCAGCCGCACTCCAAACACAACTGGATTGTACCCCAATCGCAAGTACAGTTGCATGCCGACGGCGATATAGGGCCCAAAAGTGCCCGCGCTCGAGATCTGACTCTGACCACTCATACTCTGACTGTGACTGCTCAAAGTCTGAGTCTGACTGCTCAAAGTCACATTCTGGCTACCCAAAGGCTGACCGCAACATCTTGAACACTAAAACTGACCTCCAATAAAGCTGCTTCTTAGGTTACTTTTAGTTCTTAGGTTACTCTTAGGTGACTGAGATAAGTTGTGTTATCTTAGATTTCTTATCTTAGGTTTCTTTAGGTAAACCCTAAGGAAACCTAAGAAACCTAAGAATAACCTAAAAAACCTAAGGAAGCCTAAGAAACAATAAAAACTCAGTAGTATCCCGATGTAACCTGACGCGTTTTTTTTATCCGGGGGTCTAAATTTTTGGACCTAGGGCAATATTTACGGGTCTAAAATATCGGGACCTAGGTTATAATTTACTAGAGCGTGTCGGCGGGAGTGTGATAAATCGTCGCTCCGCCACGACGGTGCATGTAAGAACATTTGTTTTTACTAAGGTTTCAAAACTTAGTTTATACACAGGCGGAAACCTTAGTTGTTCTACACTAAGGTATGGGAAACCTTAGTTGACCTACTGCCGCCTACGAGATTGTTTTTTGAATATTATTATTCAGGTTTTTGTCATTCAGGTTTTTTTTTTGTCATCAGTTTCTAGTGGGTTCCTGACACACCTTGTACTAAAATTGTATTCCGTACGGAACGTAGATGGAAAAGTTATATAAGGGTAAACAAATACTGCATCACTTTCAATAATTACCGTATAACGATCAATAATTACCGCGGTAACGAAAGAATGTTACTAGGTATATTCGATTCTTAACATTGTTTGACAGAGTTTTGCAGTTCATGACTTGGTTGTTTACTAAGCCTAACGCTAACAGTAATTTTGCGTAAATCTTGTTGGAATACTGATTGATTTACGAAACAAAAATCCGGTAGCTTCATAATAAATACGAGTTTGGAATTGCATGACAGGTATTTTTATTTCAAAAAAAATACGCCATATGGTGGCGCACGAGCATTTTTAAAGGCATGATAGCAGTTCCGCAGGTATTTAAGGGACAATGTATCTTCTGAATGGCGGCGGCCACCACACTTTATTGAATCGTAACGGCATCGCCACACATTAATGTGCAAATTCTTTATGGAGGAACTGCTGACCGGCATCATCCGACACCATGGGCTTATTAAACTGGAATTCACAGGAGCGTTGCAAATAGCGCGCTTGATTTCCAATCGCATGGTGCTTTTGGAACCGATGTGGAATCCTACTGTAGATCGTCAGGTCAACGAGTTGGTGACGGCTTCGGCTCGACGATGCCCATGTATTATGAACAGTCCAGGACCGATTGCTACGACTTCGAGTGCTTGTTTTTGTTGAATCATCATCCTTATCCTCGACGTAGCTCGACGATGCCGATGTACAATGGAATTAACCTAACTGGAGCAAATCGCGTGGCATTTCTGGAACCGATGGGGAATCCAACTGTAGATCGTCAGGTCAACGAGTTGGTGACGGCTTTGGCTCGACGATGCCGATATATCATGAACAGTCCAGGACCGATTGCTACGACTTCGAGTGCTTGTTTTTGTTGAATCATCAGCCTTATCCTCGACGTAGCTCGACGATGCTGATGTACAATGGAATTAACCTAACTGGAACCAATCGCAGGGCATTTCTGGAACCGATGGGGAATCCAACTGTAGATCGTCAGGACGTTCGGATCTTTCCGGTGGCCATGTAAAATTTGTTCCGCGTTCGGTGCTTTGGCTTTCTTCGGTTGCGATGCTTTCAATCACAACTGGCAACTGAAAGCACGACCAGCGATAAAAGATTTTTGCAAAAGAATAACCGACTGGCCGTTTTTACCTAGCTGCCACTTGGGTGAGTGATGTTCTTTAAAGTGCTGTTCCAGTAGTTGGTTTGTAGCATTTTCCCCACCGCTTCCGTCACGATGAATAAGGCAAAAACAATAAAGAAGATGACGTAAAGAAGCGTTAATAGAATTGTTTCACATCTGCGACCCATAGGGGTCGCATTCGGAAACAAACGCCTTGGGTCGGCCATAGCGCGACAATTTGAAACGTTCATGCTTAAATACTTGCTGTTTGCAGGTCATCGCCTTAAATAACTGCAAACAGGAACATTTAAGGCGCAAAATAAATCCAACTAGCAAAAGTGACAAAATGTATGGAACGTTGTCTTCATTTCCGCGCTTTTGCGCACCCTTTGGAATGTGCATTTGTGGACCGACAATGTCTGGAAAAACCAATTTTGTGTTTTCTTTGATCAACAATAGTGACATACTGATTGATAAGCCGCCATCTAAAATAATTTACTGCTACGGAGAATGGCAGAGTGCTTTTCATAATTTGAAGAACGTAGAGTTTGTCAAAGGCTTGGATAATTTGTTTTCGCTGCTAGACGATACCGTCTCCGGCGAGCAAACGTTGATAATCATTGACGACCTGGCTTCTGATTTATGTAAAGACGACCGTTGCTCCAATTTGTTCACGCGTGGAATACATCACAACAACGTTTCAGTCGTTGTTCTGCTGCAAAATTTATATAAGCAAGGAAAATCGATGCGAGACATTACCCTCAATTCCCAGTACTTGATACTATTTAAGAGCGTGAGGGATGTCCAACAAATCAACTTACTAGCCCGTCAAACAGGATTGAGACATTTAGTGGAAGCGTACAAAAAAGTGACTGCTCAACCTTACCAGCCTCTGATCATTGATATGCGACCCGCATGTCCGGATTATTTAAGGATCCGCTCTCATGGGTTGCCATATGACCAGATGAGAATTTACACCAATCGTTGCCAAAATGTCGGAACGTGTTAAAGCCTTAGCCCCTTTCCTGATTACTCTGCAAAATCTGAAACCCAAACAGCGTAAAGTTCTATTGGGTTATATGAACAAATCGCAGATGAAAGCCTTGGAAGAAATTGCGGTTAATATTGTCAAGAACACTGTGGCCCTCAGCCCCACCGAACTGGACAAGTGCAAACGCCATCGGAAAGCATTAAAGTTGATTGCTCTCCGGCGGTACCCAAACAAGGAAAAGCGGAAAATTCTACAGCAAGGAGGATTCATTGGAGCCATATTACCCGTTATAGCCGGAGTGTTGACGTCACTGATTGGAAATGGATGAATACTACATTGTACCGCGCCGTGACATGGAAGCGCGACTACATGAGCAGATACAGATAAATAAGGAACCTCCCGAAGCAAGAGCGGTGTTGTCATTGGATGCCTTATTAGCCAAAACCTTGCATCGTACCGATATAAATGAGTATGAAAAAGCCAGCCAGTTATCAAGCATACTGGAACGCTTCCTGGCTTTGAAACAGAAAGCCTTGCCCGACGAAAATTTACTGGAAATACCGAACGTTCCCACCATTCAGCCATCAGCGTTGACCTTTGAATCTTCGAAACCTCTTCCAACTGGTTCCAAAAGGAAACGGACCGATTACGATACTGAAAGATCTTCAAAACAACCACGTGTTCCGTTATTCCCTGATACCTTACCGACCAAAGGGCGCAAACGCGAACGGGAGGGTAAAGAGGATTTCCACGATACTAGGAGTTCTTCAAAGCAACCACGTGTTCCATTATTTCCGGAGATCTTACCAACCAAAGGGCGCAAACGTGATCGGGAAGCCGAAGAAGATTTTTTACCGGTAAAAATTCCACGTCGACCGTTATTTCCGCCTACTCTACCCACCAAAGGCTCCAAAAGAAAAGTGGTTGTGGAAGTGGAAACTCCTGTCCAAAAGAAAAGACAAGTGGGAAGCGGCAGCCGACGCTTACCGTGGATTACTTTGCCATAATGGCGAGTTGGATACCCAGTGTTTTGCGATTATGCCGCATATTTAAGATCAACTGTGTGTCCACATGTTGCAACAATGGAGAAGCTGATGAAAAAGTACTTAAACCCAAGAAATCCCGGAAGCCTTGGCGGCATCGCAAGATTCCAAAGGAGTTTAAAGACCAGAGCCAACAAACGGAAAGCTTTGGAGATTCTGCAAGGGATCGATGCGTACACGGTGACGAAGGAGAACCGCAAACGGTTCCCACGCAACCGAGTAGTCGTGACGACACTGCAGCAGCAATACCAAGCTGATCTGGCTGATCTGTCTAAGTATGCCAAAGAAAACGATGGATACAAGTACTTGCTGTTTGTCATTGACTGCTTTTCCAAAAAACTGAGCGTAATTCCTTTGAGAGGAAAGACCGGTAAAGAAACCAAAACAGCTTTAGAGCAAGCATTCAAGGAATTGGGAGAACCGGAAAAGCTCCAATATGATAAAGGAACAGAAATGTTGAACAAGACGGTGAAAGACTTCCTCAACGGCAAAAGGATCGCCATGTTTACTTCGGAAAACGAAGACATTAAATGCGCCATGGCCGAACGAGTCATACGGACCATCAAGTCGCGAATATTCCGACTTTTCCGCGCACGTGTTGCAACACGTTATGTGGACAAGCTGCAGGACTTGGTGTATTCGTACAACCATTCAAAGCATCGGTCGCATGGAATGCGCCCCGTGGATGTTAAGCACAGCAATTCCTTATCGGTCTACAACCGTTTGTATCCACCAAAGATTGCGTACCAACCGCGGTACAGTGTGGGGGACGCTGTGCGGATTGCTATCAACAAAGGCAAGATGGAAAAAGGCTACGCGTATCGATTTAAGGAGGAAATTTTCTACGTTGTGCAAGTTATTCCGCATTACGTTCCCGTTTATCGGTTGAAAGACTATCAAGACAATCTTATCAAAGGGACATTCTACGAACACGAACTTTCCAAAGTTTCTGTACCGGACCAGTATACCATCGACCACGTTGTAAAACGTCAAGGGAACAAAGTACTGGTACGTTGGTTAGGATACGGACCGGAACACGATTCGTGGATCAAAGCATCATGTATGAAGGGGCTCCTTTCTACGTGACGTTGCCTAGCGACGTGGCAACAGAAGCAACCAACACAGCCTCTAACTGGACAACCAAACTGAAACACCCCATCACTCTCAAAGGAAAGTGGGAAATGGCCCTTGTCGAGCTGCAATACTTGAACTCGTTTTATACTTTGCCGGTGGAGAAGAAAATACAAGTGAATATTGTGAAAGAATTCCGATTGAAAAAAGACGACACAGGTTTTATTGAATCTGTTGATTACGTCATCCATCAAGATGAAATTACCATTCCGCCGGGCAACTTTAAGAATGCTGAATTGTTACTGCAAACGATCAATTCGCTGGTGCCTAAAGTTGGAGCATACATGGTGGATGATACGGTTCATTCCGATAAAAGCGCTTTGTCCCACGATCGAGCCTTTACCGTTCAGTTCCTCACCCCAACAAATCATCGCGTGCGACTAAACATTGGAAACGACCGTGTGTCTGTTGTTTTTCCTCCAGGATCATCAATTCTGCAAAAGATTCTTGGATTCGACAGCGCTGAATTCAAACCAGATGTGCCAGTAGAGAGTCACGGCAATGCGCGGGGCCCCTTTCCCATGGAAACCAAGACTAGTCAAATCAAATATCTCTCGTTCTTGACCAAACCGCCCAATCCCAAACTGAGCACTTTTATTTCGGAGCGTCCCGTGAACACTTTGTTAGGAAATCAAAGTTTGTTTGTGTACAGCGATGTGGCTGACTACAGCTTGATCGGAGACACAGCAGCGCAGTTTTTGCGTTCTGTACCTATTAGAGGAGAAGTCAATCAAATCGTGGAAGCACGGTTCGACATTCCGCATTACGTTCCTGTTTTACGACAACATTTCGAAACCATTCACCTGACTATTGCTAATGATCTCGGAGACGATGCCAAATTCCAAACCGGGAAATCGTTGGTGAAACTGCATTTCCGACCCCAAAGACTATATTGAAAATGCCTCTGGTTCCGTACGTACCCGACCCGCGGCGTTATGAAAGCGTCTTCCTGAACCAAACCGGAGGAAGCGCGCTCATACGCTACCGAGGGACCTTGCAGAATGGATCGGGGTTTCCACAAATCCTTAAAAGGTTATTTGCCAAAATTTCTTCCTTTGCGGCCCCTCTTTAAAGCAAGCAGCTCCCCATGCCAAAGCCGCGCTGGAAGCCGCCACACCACACCTGCAAGAAGCTGCTACCGGGGTTATTAAAGATGTAGCAGCACGTGCCGGAGCCGCGATTGAGAAACGTCTAGCTCCTCAAGAAGGACAAGGTCGAAAACGATTGCGACGGATAAAACGTATTCCCCCTAAAGATATTCTCGACTTTATATAAAAATGGCCATGCTCATGGTAGAAGATTCGGAACCGGCCATGCAGCTGGAGAATCAGTTATTTGCCCTTCCGGCCACGTTGACTGACCGCTGGCGAACGGAGAACGAGAAATTGAATCCCACCACCATATTGACGGATAACGGTTCAGCTGGAGACATCAACTTTTTCATTCCTCCCAGTACGTCTGGTTTACTTAGTTTGGCTGATATGATACTGGAGTTGGAGGTGGGCATCAAAGTGCGCAAGGTTAGTGGAGAATGGGAAGCGATGACGGCAGCCGATGGTGTCGCGCCCGTCAACAATTTCTTGCATTCTCTGTTTTCCTCGTGTCACGTCACGGTGGCTAATCGGCTCATCTCGGATGCGGCGACATTTTATCCATACCGTGCTTATCTGGAATCATTGCTATCTTACACGACCGATGCGCAAAATAGTCAATTGACATCGGCGGCTTTCTACCACGATACCGCACTGCGCTTCAACGATGAAACACTAAACAAGGGCGAGAAAAACCGCAAAGCCTTGTTTGATGGTGGAAATTATGTGCAACTTTCGGGCAAGCTCTTTGCGGATCTGTTTGACCAGAGCAAACCGTTGTGCACGGGTGTGCCAGTCAATATCCGATTAGTAGTCAGCCGACCGGAATTTTCTTTGCGCGTGTGGGATCAGGATGCTACAAAGTCCTTCAAACCATTCATCCGCAACGCTCGACTATCGATTCGACGATATATACCATCCCCTGATTTTCTAACGGCTGTGACGGGAGAATTGTTAAAGAAAAACCGTAAAGTACCACATTGAACGTGTGGTAATGCGTGTGTCGGATATTGCTCAAAAGACACAGAGCACAGTGGTCAGTAATCTGCAAATTGGACAAATTCCCAAAGTGGTCTTCATTGGATTTGTGGACAGTGAAGATTTTCATGGATCAAGTAAACGCAATCCGTTCAACTTTCAACACTTTAACCTGACGCAAATCAGTGTGGAAGTGGACGGGCAAAGTTATCCCAACAAACCTTACATGGCTGATTTTGAACGCAGCCTGTCTTTGGAATGCTATGATGGACTACTAGATACGTTGGGCCATCGACCAAGTCTACAAGGAAGTCTCCCGTTTACGCGCACGCAGTACAACCAGGGCTATACGCTATATGGGTTTGACCTCACGCCCGGACATACTGGACGCGGACCGTTAACTTTGATCAAACAGGGCAATTTAAGCGTTTCTGTTTCCTTTGGAAAACCATTGGAAAAACCATCATGATGGTGTGCATGCTGGTGTACGACAGCGTTATTGAGATCAACCAACACCGTCAGCTGATTGCGGACTTTTCAACATGAACAGCCAGCAAATCAACGAGGCCTTGCAGGGCCATCCGATCACCACCCAAACTTTTCGTGGTGTTTTTGCCAGTAATGAAGTACCTCCGTCACTACAACCCTATCCCGCAGCGTGTGTGGTAAATACTGATCCGGCTGACCGAGAAGGAGAGCATTGGATTGCTTTGTATCAGGAAATGGATGGAAGTATGGAAGTGTTCGACTCGTATGGCAAGAAGCTGGAATCTTACTCGTCAGACTTTGTTAGTTTAACTAAAGAGAATGAAATTGTCTTGCAATCCGAGCAGTTTCAATCAGAACTCAGTACCGTCTGTGGCCAATATTGTCTGTTTTTCATTTTACGACGATGTAGTGGCGAGTCATTTACGAATATTGTGCATTTGTTTACTGATAATAAGGCGAGCAACGACAAGATGGTGTGCCAGTACGTTAACTGTTTTTTCAATTTAAAAACAACCATGGTTGATGGAAATCTCATCCGGCAGATTTGCAAACGATTAATAAAATGATCAGCAAAAAAATGGGCAGCGCTATTGAACAGTAAATGTGACAAAGTATAGTATACAAAGATAATATAATTCAAGAACCCACTTAACATTCGTCAGTTAGCATACGACCTACACGGTCACGCAATTCCTTTCCATTGCTGGCTAGAAATCCAGCAACGTTTAGCTCCAGTGCTTGTTCCACGCCCAGTTTGTCTTTGCCAAATAAAATGCCATACACCATCCGCAATTCATTTAGGCGCTCCATAGCAGCATTCCATTCGCCGTCGCTTGGGCGCTCCTTACCCGTTCCACCCGTTCCGTCATCGGTCAGCTTGACCAGTCCTACCATTGCTTCCGCTACTTCGCTTAGCAACTCTTTGTACATTAGTCCTTCCTTGACAGGGTCCGGTTTTCCCAGTTCTTTCTGAATGGCCGCCATGTCTTTAAACAGCTGCATGTCTTGCAACAGTTCCTTCAAGGCATCATAGCACCGCTCTCCAAAGGAAATGCCATAGCGCGTAGGGTATAGATCGCCAGCTGGTTTTTGATGATAGCGACGGATTGTTGCCACATTGGCACTGTTGAAGCGGTTCCAACTAAAATACATTCCACCATCCAAACGGTATAATGGGGATAACTTGCCCGTTTCAGCTGAAGAGGCCCGCGTCGCTTCATCCATATCCGTAGTACCCGTCAGCATCAGAGCAGCCAAACGTAAAAATCCAGGTTTGTTGAGGGCAATGCTTTTACCCCAAGTCGGCTTCCACGAATGATCCGGTTGCTCTTTCCACTCACCAAAAACAACGCGGACAACATGGTGGTCGGTCGTGCTGCGGGCGACGTAAACGAATTTGTCGTTGCTTAGGCGGTAGACGGGGCGGCCTTGCTGAGTAAAGGCAAATCGTTGGTGAGGTTTTGCATCCTCCAACTTTGGCTTCTTGACGTCATCCGCTTTAGGCTTCCGAGGTCGCTTGTTCGATGGTGGGGGCAAATCCAGAAACTCCATTTTAGAAAAAAGAACTGAGCTTTCTGAAGAAACTTGTCAGCTTTTTATAGTTGGCATACGGAACGTAGTAACAATGGATAGTGATACTGGTAATTATTGATTGTTACCGACCTGTAACATTCGAATGGGTACTGGTAATTTTGAAAAGTTACCGGTGTAATGTTTCTTAATGACACCTGTAACATTCAAAAGTGATACCTTCCACAGCTATAAATAGCCGTGTGACGCAGCAGTGGTCATTCATTCTGATCCAAAATGGCCACTCCTTGTATTCTAGATGCTGACTGGTTTGTTATTGCCGGGAAGAAATACATTAAGCAGCTTGCCTTTTACTGCCCGGAAAAAGAACAGCAGGAGTTGTACACTTTTACACTCCCGCGCGTTGCTGCCAAATACGGTTTATTATTGCGCACCCAAGCCCGCCACTCCCACGGATTGTTGTGGAATACCGAAGGAGAATATCGTCATAACCAAGTGACCTGCGCCCTAGAGGATATGTTCAAAAAAATTGGCCGACCGAATCAAATCCGTTTCTTCGCCAAGGGACTGGAAAAGTGCCGCCTCTTGGAGCAGTACTTACCGGAAGTCGCCAACCTGGAAAACTTTGGATGCCCGCCGTATCATAAGCTGACCACCCTCCCCGTGTCCACCTTGCGCAAAGCCGTGCGTTTCACGCTGTGGTACTATTGCGATGCCGAAAATCACCAATGTCGTTGCCGTTGCGGATTTAAACACTACCCTGGACCTGAAGAAAATTGAAAAGGCGCTGCCGATGGCTCAGTATATACCCCATCGATTTTCTGGATTGCTTTTGCGGATCTTGGAACCATACAAAGCGCACTGTCAACTGTACCGCAATGGCAAAATCACCGTCAACGGAGCCCGCTCAGAAGAAGGAGCCCATGAATTGTTGCAGCATTTTACTAACATGTTAACCGCTATTGGATACCGGTGTACCATTTCTAAATTTCGTATTGTCAATATTGTGGCTAATCATACTTTTCCTCAACGTGTGCATATCGAGAAATTCAGCAAGTTTTTTCACATGGAGTATACACCTGAATTGTTTAGTGGTCTAGCCATCAAGTGTAGTGTTGGCCGTGCTGTTCTGTTTCCTTCTGGCAAATGTAATTTTCTTGGTTTGAAATCCGCTACTGATTTACCGAAAGCGGTGCAATGCGTCGAAATCATGCTCGATCAATTCAATAAATTTATTTCAACGTGAAGCCATAAGGCAAAGTGTTGTATTCCGCATCAACAATGCGACGTTTGTCATACGTCACTTGCAGGCGTTTTTCCATACTAGTGGTACATATAGTCAGATCTTTTTTAACTCGTTTAAGAATATCCGGATACTGAATATTTACAAAAGTCCGGTTTTCCAACATCTCTAACATGGTGCTAAAGTTAATTTGCTCACTCGTTTGCCCATTCAACGTAAAGCCTTTCACTTTGACGACAGCATCTCCATCATTGGCGACGTAGGCATACGTTTTAGCGCCCAAGCTAACAAACTGCGTGATATATTGTCCTGGCTTCAGTTCGTTGGTCAGGTCTCCCAAAAAGATTCCGGTGGGAGGATCAACAAGTCCAGGCCTTGTGATAAAAAATATCGAATCTGTAAAGGGCATGTACGGTAAATTTCCCAGAAACAAAACCTTTTTTCGGAAAAATCTGAATTACCTGTATCAAAATACAGTAACCGATCTTTCACCATATCCATAAAATTGTACAAGTGCAATCGTGCCCAGCATGTTGTAAATCTGCAAAGCAAACTAGGCTCATTGACAGTTCCAGAAGAAAATATTTCTGCACTTACGCCGCCAAAATGACGTTGGTATTGGGATTGCGCTCCACAAATCCGTTTTCTTTAGTGTACGCTAGTTGCACGACGTCTTCCGTAAACATATCCCAGGATTGTACGTGGTATTTTCCGGATAGGAGCATATCATAAAATTTCTCGGGCTCGGTAATATACATTGTGTTGGGTTTGTTGTCTTGCATTCCCAAACGTCCCCAAAAACTGTAAAGGCATCACACGAGTTGCACACGTTGGCGTAAAATTCGATGCAAATTTACCTGTTCAGGCACAGCTTGGATAGCGATCGCAATCCAAGATTTGTGTCAATTTTGTCATAATCCAAATCAATGTTTTCATGCTGCTTGAAATCCGATATATATTGTTGCTTCTCCTCCTCGGTTTGGACATGCAGCGGCCATCCACTGGCTTCCGTCTTGATTTTTAAAAACTTGTTGATATATTCCTCGAAAAGGTGGTCATCATGTTGGTCGAAATGCCACACTTCATAGATCTTGACAACAACGTAGCCACGGTCCAGAGCAGCAATAATTTCCGGCGTGCACCATGTGCCCGTTAAAGCGCGTTCTTCGTCCGTGTGCTCACACTGAGCGTTTTGATAGTTGTCCACACAGGTGCGGCACAAAGGAAACGTTAACTTTCCACCCGAGCGGTAGGGAAGTACAGGAAGTTGCAGATCTCCGGGTGGTAGGATTCGGCATTGCACTACTCCAAAGTAGTTCCGAATGTCATCAAAGTCTTTGGTAATGATGGTGGGATGGCCGATTGGGTACCGTTTATTTTTGTTGACGTATGGATACTCGCTGTTGACGTCAAAATAATTAATCTTTTCGTCACCGCTCACTTCATGGAAGAGCTTGACGGCGTTGGTACGACCGCCGTAAAAAGCATCACGTGGGTTTAAAGGGGCAACAAATGACAGTCCCTGGACAAATGCCCTCATTTCGGGATCCGCCTTTACTTGGTCGTGATACTCGTGCTCCCAGATGACGGTTAATCCATACCCTTGGTTCCGGATGTACTTTTCCCGCTCCAATGTTTCATTATAAATTTCCGACATTGGTAAATTACGCAGCGGATGTATAGTATCTCCAGCATGACATCGAGGGCATCCATGGTACCAGCAGCCGTAGAATTCGTAGACGTGATTAATATCCGGGCGGAATCCGTCAACAAAGTACGGTCCAATTTGATGTTCTGCTCCAGTTAATACAGATTTAATTCCACAGTTTTCTTGCGATTCCATCCAAACCAGCCATTTTTTGGCGATTTCAGACTGATTGCGGTTCTTGGCATGAACGCGTTGAGGGAGTAATCCAATTTGTTGCGGTTTCAAGATAAAGGATTTCCAGAATCGATTGCACACTCCCGCAATCGTCATTGCCGATACAAAAGGGCACAATCCGTTGCTAATTTCTTGGAATAGTCGACGGAACTGCTGGCAACACAGTCGCAATACCGTCACATCCATCCGGCAGTAATCCACAATCTCTTTTCGAAAATCAAAAACGTGATTCTTTTCTTTGGATTCAACGTCATACCACTGCATAAATGATGCTCTGGATTTCCTGTTCATTGTGGAAAATCCATACTCTTCGGGATCAGGAAAAGGAGTGACTATGTCCCAGTTTTCTTTCCGGTTGAACTTATGCGGAAAGGTTCCTTTTCCAATATTGGGTATACCGAAAGTCGCCGGCCATTTGGCTAGGCTTTGCGGATTATAGTTGATGCTATCACGGAACCGTATGTTATACTCTGTCACATCTAGTTGCATCAGCTTTCCGCCGTTCATAATAACATTTGGAGTAATCCCGTTCTGCAGCAGCCAGTGCAAAATAAAGTAACCGTCAAAAGCCTGCAAACATTAAAATGTCAGCCAATGGATACAGATAAATTTCAAAAGTACCTTGAAATTGTGAGCGATAATGTAGAAGTCCCGGTGTCTTTCGTGGAACAGAAAAGCGCACAAGGAATCAGTAATATCCTTTCCCAAAGGCACGCCATCCTCAGGGAAAACCCATTCGTGCCCATCATCGTCCTGCACCACCTGTAGTAAAAGCAGCTGTAATCATCTATAATCATTTACTGGAATAATACATACCGCAAGGTTAGGAACCAGCTCTTTATTTTCCGCCACATACGTCTCCAGATCAAAGTACAAAAACTTGGCATTCTTGTGTTCTTCCAACTCTTCATCCGTCACTTTCCGGGGCTTCATAAAACATTCATGGGAATCAGGTAGACCGTGATGTTTGCAGTTCTGGCAGTAAACTTCGCCGCACTGATGTTGAGTAGATCCCTTGCGGTTTCTCAATGAAACCAAACGGAAACAATCTTGGCAAATGAAAAGTGATTCGCAGATGCTTTTTCGTTGTCTGTTTTTGGTAGAGACACGAATTTTGTGCTCCGTAAAACATCCCTGACCAAAAAATTTTCGGTGGCAATCCTGGCATTGTATAGTATTATCCATATCACCTTCACAATCGGAACGTAGACATAAATGGCAAATTGACGAGCATCGGTGATCAGATTTTTCGTTATAGCCTCTGTTGCAATCATGACACCAGTAGTTCCTGTGGAAGAATGCTGGCAACGACTTGAGCAGATCAAAATGATGATCGTGATGCAGCAAAATAATGCGTCGATCTTGTTTCGGTCCACTGTACACAATACTGTTGGCGTGGTCCACACTGACGATAATAATTTGATAATCTGGAAGTGCCGCTTGGAAAGACTGAGCGTCCAGGATTGTGTATTCTCTTTCATCCAGTCCAGCTTTCTTGATGAGATCTTGAGCTTCTTTTGTTTGTAGTTTCTTTCCTTCTTTCATACGACGGCATTGTAGCTTATCACCATCAGCATATGCTTTTCCCACTACCAGTGCTCTGGCCATGCATATCTTGTCCGGATTGGTAATCACAATAACAGACTGCATCCGTTGTAGCCTTTTCTTTAGGAGCACTGGAACTTGACGGATACAGCTACCCTGTGGAATTTCCGTATGCTGTACAAAAACTTCAAAATGTTTATCAATCACCAATTCCTCGTATGAATTGAGCACACGTTCAACTTCTGACATCCAGCGGTTGACCGTAAGTTGAGATTTTTGAATGGGCGGCGTCCAGATGGGATAATTCAAGCTTTTGGAGTCCAGTCGAATGCGGACCATTTCTTTGGCATTAATGGCGTCCAACACGTAATCTAGGACGTACTGAAGAATTTCCATAATGGCCGTAGGCACACCGGAAAAAGGAATTCTTTCCAGATCAGTGACCTGCATAATAAATTTAGCTTTTACTCAGCTTTTTAGGTGACCTTAACGTGCTAACCTTTACTGAATAACACTTTGAATGCAGCCGAAATTTTTTCCAGATTCTGGAACCGGCTTCGTTGATGTGAATGTGCTCAGTAATATCACCGGGAAATACTGAATCTGCAAAATTTAAAGTAAATCCTTAAAAAAATAATTTTAATATTGTAGCTTACCAGTCTCCTCATCCCTTGACCTTTTCGACGAACTTGGACAGGCTTCTTCGCTACGACGTTTAATCCCTGGTTTTCTCGAATTCTCCATATTTAAAATCATAATACACTTGAACAAAACACCAGAAATCTTATTGCATAATAATTAGGGAGAAACTGGAAAACTTGAATGAGGCAAGCCTCGTACGAAGTCGGTGTTTTTATACCTGCCCAAGTATGTTAAGTATCGAATATGCCTAGTAACATTCTTTCGTTACCGCGGTAATTATTGATCGTTATACGGTAATTATTGAAAGTGATGCAGTATTTGTTTACCCTTATATAACTTTTCCATTTACGTTCCGTACGGAATAAAATTTCAGTACAAGGTTTGTCAGGTAACCATTAAAAGAACTGACTATCTGAATGACAAAAACCTGAATAACCAAATTAAAAAAACAAATCTCGTAGGCGGCAGTAGGTCAACTAAGGTTTCCCATACCTTAGTGTAGAACAACTAAGGTTTCCGCCTGTGTATAAACTAAGTTTTGAAACCTTAGTAAAAACAAATGTTCTTACATGCACCGTCGTGGCGGAGCCACGACGGTACATGCACGCCCGCGCCGACACGCTCTAGTAAATTATAACCTAGGTCCCGATATTTTAGACCCGTAAATATTGCCCTAGGTCCAAAAATTTAGACCCCGGATAAAAAAAACGCGTCAGGTTACATCGGGATACTACTAAACTCACAGCAACCCAGGGACCTATGAGTAAACCAAGAATAGCCTAAGAAACCTAAGAACCTGTCTTTAAAGGGCTGAATCAGAGTTTTGTGGTCAAAGAAGTTGCGGTCAAAGTCAGACTTTGAGCGGTCACAGTCAGAGTCTGGGCCGTCAGAATCAGACTTTAAGTGGTCAGAGTCACACTTCGAGCAGTCAGGTTTGAGTGGTCAGAATCAGAGTCAGAGTCAAGTTTGAGTGGTCAGAATCAGAGTCAGAGGTGGAGCATGGGCCTACAATCGGTACAGTAGGGGTCGAGAGTTTTTCGGATTTGGTAAACCTGCGAGTTTTATCATTGGAGTAGCCTAGATCCAATTATTAATCTCAAAATTGCTTTAAAGTTGCTTCGGTTTCACAGGAGCAGACAACATTCGCCGAACAGAGTTCTGAAAGAAGTACAAATTCACGGAAAATTTTCAAAGGAAAATTTACAAGAAATATAGGTATTTTCAAAGGCAAATTTCAAAGCCACAGTTATAACAATTTGATGGAAAGGTTTTGACTTGTTAATGACAAGACTATTACCTACAAAAATGGGAAACTTTTGCAAACACTGAAGGCGAAGCTGCTATAAGCAGTCCCTGCAGTAATATCAATAGAATAATATACGCGAAATTTCACTTCAAATTTATGGTTAACATATATGTTTTTGAATGTTTGTTCGGGAGTTCCCCGCGGATTGCTAACCCTGCGCTTCGGACTCGCCATGCGCACTGCCTGGATGCAGCCGTCCAGGCCCGTAACGACTACGGGAAACGGGAAGCCAAACGCGGAAACGACTGTTCGACTTTCGTGTCGTCATGCAGGGTATTTGCGTTGATGAATGGAGCACCGTGCAGAAAGCTGCCGAGAAACACCTATTGAATTTACCCTTGGCGTGTTATAACCGAAAGCAATCAAAATGTCATGTGACTTGTTGACTGCATAATCTAAAAGTGCTTACATCATATTCTGACGTTGGTTGACGCACAAAATGCTCGCACATTCGCCTTTGCTTTGTTCAAGAGTAAGCGAAACAGCAATTAGTGGAGATTGCCGATTCGTACATGGAAAACACCAGTAAATAGTGACGTGCTATAATGTAATTGTCTATCCGCCAAAATATAAACTACGCGTGCCAAAGTATTCTCTTTACGCGTGCTAAATATACCACCACTCAAACAAACAGAAAACTGTTCCGTTAACCGTTCTTTGTGTGCTTGAAAAGACTGCAGTACCGTAACAAAAATGGCGTGACACTGTCGGTGGACAAATGTATCCCATGCCGGCGTTGACCCGGATTTATTATGACGTTCAGGCGCTGGAACAAAGCCGGCGTGCGGGGACACAAAACCCCGGCACCGGTATATAAGAGCGCTGCGACCAAATACTTGGAAAATCTCTTATGCCACTTTACCAAGCCGACATTGCCTTTGTTGACCAATAAGAAATTGTTCTTCTTTTCTCATTTTTATTCTTGCTTCGATTTCTGTTCTCAGTGTTTTTATTCAGCCACCTTAGCAGAATTCTAGAAGCTTAAACGACACCCTAAAATTAGACTTCTCTTCGGGGATTTCCGATTAGTAGCGCTTTTTGGATTATTTTGAAAGACATGGCTCTGTGTATAACGGTGACGTTTTGGATCGCTCTCGTCTCGACACTAACAGCACTGTGCACAGCAAAGTCCATCCGGATAAAATGCCGGCAAAGGTCAGGCCCGGTTACGGGCACCGATGGCAGTCTGTGTACATGGATCACATTCGACAAGTTTCCCATGCATTTATATGGTAAGGGTGACCGTGTGAATCGTACGTCACAACGTAGTGTGACCATGCAAAATTATGTGCAATTTTTACAGCGCCTCCTGCTCAATCTCTTCCCCAAAGCCCCCCATGAAAAGTACCCGAGGTAACCGGTCATCGGAACAAACGCAGACTACGCTAGCGCCAACAACGGAGAAGGTTAACCATTCGGCGCCGGCGCCGAAGAAACCGTACGTCGCTTCCCGCAATCGTTTACAGTATAATACTTACAATTTACAGTATAATACTAACACTACTACATATAATACTAATTTATAGTATAACAAATATATAGTTAACAGTACGATAAATGCTATTAACAGTCAAAGTTAGTAAATGCAGATTAATGTTGCAGGGTGAGATTGGCGCATCCCGGTGGATTTCTGTTCGGTCATCATCATCTACGCTGGAAACCGGCGCCGAAATAATTTTACCCGACGAATGCCAAACTTTGAATTAGAAAAAGCCTTTGACTGTTTATTGTGATTTCGTCAGCGCTGTCTTATGTTGATTATTTGGTAGAATTGTTTATTTGTCCGATACCTTGCTTGCACTGCGGTAACTGTGCTTTACATATGGCAATCAAAGAAATGCAACAACAAAAATTAAAATAAAACAATTATATTATTAAAATCACTGCGAATTTCATTTGTATTCAAAGACATCCATCACAGTGGCACTTAAGCCAGCCAACAACTGTGATTAAAACTGCAGCCAGAAAGTCTGCATCTCGCCAGCGCCCTTGACAGCGATCCATCCGCGTTCCTCGAGCATTAACTGCGGATAAACCGTCCGCGCCACGTCGGCCGTACTGTCGCTTAATTGTATTCTCCCGCTGATTCCGTGGCTGCACATGCGTGAGGCAATGTTGACCGTGTTGCCGAACCTGTAATTATTTGCCGGCAATTAATACGGTCACTAAATTATTGATCATTTGGCGATTTCTTACAGTGTATAATCTAGAACACGATGCCCTTTACGCCACACATTACTGCGTAAAACGAAGCCGAGTGATTCTGTCTTCAAAGCGTTTTTATTCGCGTATTCAAAGCTTACACGTACACGCGCTTCGCTGCTTGAACCAACTGTTGACAATGCACACTGTTTATCGGTTTAGTTACTGCATATTATTAAAGCTTGGAGCTACGAACCGACTGGAGGAATCCGCTTTATTAGTCTACATTGTACAGATACGCAGTACATGATATTAGCGCGACTTACAGACAGTATTTCGGTTTCTTTGTCCCAATAACTCCGGCAGCCAACGGACCTGTGTAAGACGTTTATGTAAGAAATAAATGTTAAGAAATTCAATAAAGAAATTAGCCTTTTACCGGAATGTATGCCGACTTTGATCGGGAGCTCTTGATACACCGACAACTTTTCCGGTGCGCGGCGCATCACTGCCTGCGCCAAGCTGCAGATCTCCAGCACATTCTGGGTACCATTGGCCACCGGAACACCGCTAGCGATCTGCAGAAACAAAGGTTACAGCGTACGCGTCGGCGGTTATTAGCGGTTAATTAATCAGCGGTTACATAAGCGGCATCCAATGGGAAATTATTACGAGATATAAATACCATATAGGAATCGGAAATGTTCTCCACGCGGTACACAGCGTACTGCGACAGCAACGCGTGGAACAGCATATCCAGCTCGGCCAACACCGTGGTGGCCCGCAGCGGTGGATGACGAGCGACGTAGGCCCCGAAATCCGGCATATCCGTGAACATGAGCGTCACCAGCTCGAACATCTCGGGTATCACATTGCTGCCGCTGCGCAGCTGGCGAACCACCGAGCTGAAATTAAGCGGCCTTGACTGTACCCTTCCAGTTTAATTGCCGGCCTAATTTCTGCTTATTGTTAGATTTAATAAGATACAAGATCTTTTTAATTTCTAGAGTATTTTTCCTAGGGAAATATTTCCTTGGATTTACGAATAAGTCAGCTGAACGCTTAATAAATTGAGCGCTCCGAATTTTACTCCATACATTCTACGTATTACCCGAATATACTGTAATTCTTTTCATGCATGTTCACCATAAAGCATTTTTTGCGGTATCTTTGGTATCTTTTGGTGTACAAGTATAAGCCTTCAAATATTACTTACGATGGAAGAAAGCGAGCCAAGATAGCGTCGCATTTGGCGCGTTCGTCCAGAAGATTCGTGGTCCTTCGCAGGACTTCCTCCTCTAAATCCTCCGAGTGCTGTGACAACCGCCACAGTATCTTCTCAGCCAGATTGCCGTTTCCACCGTATAAATAATTGGACCATTTGACCACTTCCATCTGGATCTTCCTGGCCGTTGGCCGGTTCAGCGGGTCGTGGTCGTAACAGGATTTCAGCAACGGGCGAAATCTCCTTAGTAAACCGTCCGCGTTATCGGACGTTGATATTAACTCTACCACACAAAATCGTTGAAGTTTAAAAGACGATTAAAGTGACGAATGCACATTAATGCACCTTGTAAAAACGATACTCTTCGTTTTGACAACGGTAAATTCCGCTGGCTGAAGATCTCATAGATCACCGTGGCTTCCGCCAGGATATCGGCTTTTGTTTGCCGATGGCATCCGCTCGGTTCTCCGGTTTCTTGCGGGACGCTGATCGTTCCCCGGAAAATATATGGATGATTTTGTCATAAGCCAATTCGGAGATTTTCAACGTAAAGTGCTTGTCGATTAAACACGTTGTCGAGGATAGATTGCCGTGGTACATTAACGACGAAGAGTGGATATACGACAATCCCTATTAAACGTCAAGTTCCTGTAACTGTGTAGCAGCAATAATAAGCAGTTTTGCTGGAAGGAGCGTACTTGCGATAATTCGACAACGAACGACATGATAAAGTTGGATTCCATAGGAAGACACGATTCGAACAGCTCATAGACCGACCCGCGTTCCGCGTACTCGGCGACGATAGCGTATTTCATGGTTTGCGGCAGAACCGTGATGCCCATGAATGTACAGACATTGTAATGCGAAATGCCACGCAACTGTAAATAAAACACTACGTAAGTTATTGAAAAAAAAGAAAAACAAGAAACGATAGACGATGCCGCTAAAAACGAGACAGATATTTTGCCTCGTTTGTAACGGTATTCTGTGTCCTTTTACTAAAAACTATCAAAACATACGAAGGAATATTTCAAAACATATAAAGAAACGGCGAGGAAAAAGAAACACAGAAATAATTCAAAATATGATTTATAGCACATACGCAAACAAGAAATAAACGTTAGTGTTACTGATTTTACCTTTTTTAAAAGAGCTAACAACGCGGTCGAGGTAAACGCCTGGCTGACATCGGAGTAATCCTGGATGGCGGCGATAACCGTTAGCTGGACCAGAGCGCCTTTATATTGCGCTGGAAAGCTCTGCAAAAAAAACCCGTGGAATATTTGAGAAAAAACCAAAAAACTAAAAGCAGCGTACGTTTTTCGCCAATGCTTTAGTGTCGTCAGCGGCCGCCACGGGGCGTTGGTTCAAGGATTGTGACATGAGGGCCCGACGGCGTGTCGATCGCAGCGTGGATGCCGGCACTAAGGTCATCTGGCTGTTATCGATGCGCCACCAGACGTCTTTCAGCATCTTTTCTTGTAGATTCCGTCTAAAGTATTGCTTCGGATTAGTTTGTTTAAAGAAAACCGTTACGCAGCGTATTTACCGCATTCGGTATAAGACGACAGTGAAGATAACAGCAATGGCGCCGAAGACTCCAAAACCCACGCCTTTCACCGTATTCCAGAATGCTGGAATCAGGAAAAGCGTTTTAATTATAGCGCTGCAGCTGCTGCGCGCTGCTGCTGCAGCGCTAATTACAGTGACGCTTTTTACCGGTTTGCGCTTCAAGACTGACGCATTTCTGTCCGAAATATCCGCACTTCGGTTCGTTGGGAGGCGGCCAAACGCCGTTGGGCCAGGTTACGTTATTTATCGCTAGGAGGTGATCTTCCGCTTTGCGCTTTATCAGTATCGGCTAGATCAAAATATTTGTTGTGCTCTGGCAATTCAACTGATTTTGCCTCGGCCTTTTTATTATTTTACGCGTTCATTATTCTGTAATTCTTATATTGCTGGATTTTGTATTTATTATTTTATTATTTAATTAATTATTATTTTGGAGTTTTTCTGTATTTAGGCGCTCATGTTTTTGAAACGCTTATTTTTCACATTTTGACTGCGAAATTACTTACATTTTTCCCCAGCTTGTTGTAAAAAAGCTTTGGACCATTAAGTTAAATCACGTAAATTGCAGCAGTGTGATATTTTTTACCGTAAAACTTTCTGATCCATTGCAGTAGCTGACAACCATATCGGTGCGGCGCTCTCCGGCCTCATTGAAGTAAACATCCTCAGCACGTGTCGGAAAAGATCGGCCGAGGAATTCCTGAGCAATTAGGGCGCCTTTGGAGAAATCGAAACCCGGTAATCCGACTACCAAATTATTCAACACCTACAACGTAGCAAAAACTAGCTAATCTGCGACACACGATGTGACCCTGGATGTACGCCACAATCAGCCGAAATAAAATTAATAGGACCTAATTATATTTCGCGTACCTGCGCCAACGCCATCACAGCTGAGTAGCCAGCGGCTATTATGGGAAACGGCTGCAATAACACTTCCACGTCAGCACACCATAACAAGCGCCTGATCGGAAACGCTTTGCTCCCCCAGATTTCGCTGTACCTGATCCTTTAGCTGGTAGCTATTATTGTAGGCGGTTTCCGAGCGGTTGAGAACCTGTACACTGAAACGGCGATTTTTCTCCGGCTGCGGAATTAAGGAATCGGCCGGTTGAACTAAGAGCAGACTGCGAAAAGCCTCACGCGCCATCTACAAAAAAAGCTTTCTGTCACGTCTTGGCACAGATGTTTATTGTGCCACTCTGGCCGGATAGATACTGAATCATGAAATACTCGTAGTACCACATAAAATGCGTCCTCTACAGGTCAACACAGCCATGCGGGTTGCTACGCGCTAATATGGCGCGTAGCCACTACACTACACCTTCACCCTTAAAATGAAGTGAAAAAAGCAGAACATTATGGCAAAATGTCGAAATAGTCTTCTTCGACATTGTAGACGGTATCGACCTTTTCCTTCTTCTTGTTGTCCTTCTGCTGGCATGCCCTCTCTATGTGGCCTTTCATGCCGCAAGCATTGCACCTGGTGTTTTATACCAGCATTCCTCGGGCGTATGCCGCCAGGATCCGCATCTTTACACTTCCGCCGGGACGGCATCTCTTCGTCACTTCCACTTTCTTCTTCATTCTCTTCTTGTCTCTTCTCTCTCCTGCTCTTATCCTCTTTCTTCACTCTTGTTTCTCGCTTCTTAATACTGTTCACCACATTCTCTTCCACGTTAGTTTTTCTCGCCTCTTTCACGCTTGTTTCATATTTGATAGCAATTTGGAGGGCGGCGTCGAACGTCTTCAGCTCTTGCAGCATTAGGTAGCGTCTTGTTGCGTCGCTTTTGACGCCTGCCACGAGCACAGCACTTAAATTCTTCTCCAGCACTGTTGCCGGAAAGTCGCATAGGATCGTTTTGTCACGTAAACGCGTCGCGAAGTCCACCAGGCTTTCTTTTTCGTCCTGCCGAAGACTGAAGAACAGCGCCCACTCGGTTATTTGGTTCGTGTACGGGGCGTAGGCCGTTTCCAGCTTCGTGACCAGTTCACCCAGTGTGAAGTCGGACGGCATCTTTGGCTTGCACATGGAAACTAGGAGCTGCAGGGCCTTCGTATCCAGACTGTTTATTAGCAAGGCACGGTGCTTGTCCGTATGAAGGTCGGTCAGCACAGTATAATTATCATACAAAAACTTCCACGCCTTCCAGTCCATGGTTTCCGGATTGAATTTAGTCAATTGATCGGTTGTGGTCGTCATTTTCGCTCTCTTATTATATAGCGCTCGCTTTCCTCTTCTCCTTTCCCGCTTCAGAGTTCAGAGAATACTACACTTCACGCCAATTGTCACGTCTTGGCACAGATGTTTATTGTGCCACTCTGGCCGGATAGATACTGAATCATGAAATACTCGTAGTACCACATAAAATGCGTCCTCTACAGGTCAACACAGCCATGCGGGTTGCTACGCGCTAATATGGCGCGTAGCCACTACACTACACTTTCGTTAAGCGTAGCTTTAACTGGAAATCGGTAGACCTTACCGGGTCATCGGTATCGTTGTACTGCCAATCCATGCGTCCGTATAATCGGTTGCGGAACGGCTCCATCGCCACGTACACCTAAGAATCAGTATACCTTAAGAACAGAGCACTAAAAGCAGTAAAGTCTAACTACTGCGCGTAGGTAGTGGATTATCATTGTATTATGCAGAAACAAATTGGTATATTTATTACCGTGTTTACGAGCAAAATAAAGGGCTAAGTACATCTTTGCTCCCAACAAAAAAATTGTTAGAAACGTTAGAATTTCTGACAAAACCTATGCTTACGTATTCGCCGTTGGTCATGTTCAGTTTGCCAGCCGATATCTGGAAAGAGAGAATCCTTGAAACGTTTACGGATTCTGTAACGGGGCCGTTAGCACGACGCGTCTTACCAAGAGATTTCGAACTACTGGTCCACGGCCGAAGATTAGCATAACTAAAACAAGACATGCCTAGAATTTTTCTCGAATATGGGTTATATGAAACCGTTGCATACCGCGGCTAATTCTCGAGAAATCTCTGAGCAATGTAGGAAAGCGTAACATCGTCGCGTTGTCGCGGGTGAAGATCTCCTTCTGGCTGACGGAGTACCCAAGAATCCCGCTGATCCCCGCGATAACCTTCCGCGCCACGGCCCCGTACACCGGGGGACTGTCGCGGTCCGTGATGACCATGACGCTGCGCCACTGGAACATGTGCAGCAGATCCAGGTATACTTCGATATAGGCGCCGGTGGAGATGAAGGCCGTGGTGATCCAGGTGGGCCGCTTGATGACGTCCTGGGCATTCCCGTTGGAGGAAGCGCTGTAAATGATGCATGACGTTATGACCCAACCGCCCGCACCGATAGTGGTATTTCGGTTGATTAGACGTTAATTATGCACTTACGTTGTAATCAGCAGCATATCCCAGTTGCTAACCAGATGCCCGATAGTGTTATCCGTCACGCAACCTAGATTAACAAGGAGAAGACAGTCGAGTTATATTTTGCGTCGCATAAATAATAATCATACTGAATTCGCAATATATATTTACATAACTGCGAACCCGCCCGTCGTATTAAGGGATTTGGCCCGGTACGTAGCTCCAAATTTGTATACTGTATTTTCACAAGTTTAAGGAACAGGGTGGGGGCGTGGCCAGCGTAGCCGGACCGTCGGTCGGCTTTGATCTCAAAGGGGCCGACAACTCGTGTGCGCGGCCCGGCCCCTGGAGCGTTCCTTAAACTTGTGAAAATACAGTACATCCACGGCAACTTTCGTTGTGGTACCGAACCAGCCTTCTACCATTTTCTTCAAGTTATAAAATGAAATTCAAAAATTTTAAAACTTGATTTAAAATTTGAAAAAAATGGTAGAAAGCTGGTTCGGTACCAAAACGGTCTTCATAGTAATGCGCATTTTCTTGCAAAATTTGAAGAGCATCGGCTCATAATGAGACTTTTGGTACACCTTCGCGCGTTTAAACTTTAGGAATTTTATTTCATTGACTCCCGAACCGCATGTTGCGCGCGCAAACGGATTTCACGCCTACGTATATAAATCCTTTGGCTACAAAATGTCATAAAGCAATGCACAAAGTGTTTAGGAGTGCACGACAGCGAAAGTTCCCGTGTATGTACCCGAATTTGGTACTATGTACCGGGCCAAATTTGGTGCTACAGTATGTATTGTACCTGTCGACGCCAGTGTATTTTTTTGGCTAATTGTTTTTTCGTAATAGAAAATCAGTATTAGTGAAGTGTCGCGATTTTTCTATAAGGTAACATTTTCAGCGCACAAAGATGTTCGTGCAGTCTAACGCACGTGCCAGCGTGTGGCAGTTAGTGGGATTACGTAAGAATGGTTGCTTTCGAGGAAGTCGCGCGCTAGCACGCACCGGTATGCCTGGTTGTAATGAATAGCGATGTTTTCGTGTTGAGTGCCATCATTAGGACTGTACGGCTCGGGAAAGATCCGCATCGTAAACACTTAATAACACTTTAAAAATACGTAAACACTTTTGCTCCGTAACGCAGAAATGTAAGTATGCAATTTTGAGAAACCTGAACACGGACTTTTCCTGCCACAACCGTCGGGCACAGCGTGTTCTGTATGAAAATAATAATTTTCCATAGAATTTTCGAAGATGTAATGACAAATTCCGAAACGTCACTTGTGAAAAATCGGTTGTATTGTATCGAAATGTACGAGGTTGTAATATTAGGGAATTATGCCGGGTCACTTATTCTCACGCTACGTGTAACGTGCACAATCCATATGACACGCTTTGCGCCATGTACATCTACAAATCGCTCATGCATGCACCGCCGGCACCATGTGACTCCCGTGGGATATTTGACACACTCCCATTTTTCTACAAACTTTAATCTGGAAATAACGGTACAGTGCATGGCGCTTTTTGTTGTTTGAGCGCGTCAACAATAGCAAACACAACTCACAATCAATTTGACCTCATATTGGGGTTGTAATTAAAAACTACGGGTTCCTCGAAATCTAAGAGATTATGTGGTGAATTTTTCTGTACTCGACCGCGTATTAACAGCCATTTAAAAAAAAAGTATTCCAGATTGCAGTCTAAATTACGGTAGGTTCTCGTATCGCACTGTATAATTTAGGCCGTTTTCCATTTGCTTCTAATAAGAAAATTTTGATTAATACCGGAGTACTCGATACACAAAATCCAGTATACAAAAAAAGAAAGCGGAAAACCGTGAAAATAAAAATTAATAGAATCTAAAAAAATAAAACCGGCACAGTTAGAAAAAAGAAATAGGAAAAATAACAAGCATACTAAAAACGCAAATATAAACAAAAATTATCATAACACGGAAAAAAATAATACACAAGAACATCAGCACAAATTCATATAGCATAAAGATTGTACAGTTTAATTTTCACATATGCGTAAACAAGAAAAACTTGGCACGAAAAAAATAAAAACAGCTAGTGGCAAAATCGCAAAAGTAGTCCATACCTGGAACAATAAGCGCGTTGACATTACCGCTGATTCGTTGCTTATAATACCACTCCGCCAGCAGCGGCTCACTGAGCGCCGTCACACCGTTACAATCCCGCATCCCGCGATTATCCAGATACGTTATCTCCATGTTCAGCGTGCGATTATACAGCCGCATGGCATCCTGCACCGCCACATCCATCGCTGGTGCGGAATACGCCGAGGAGATAAACTCCGCCCCACCCGGGAACCCGAACGACACGATGGTGACATTGAGGACACCACCGACCAGTGTCCACTCCCCCGCCAGCGCGACAACGCAGATCACATAGTACTTGTAGTAATCCATCGCTCAGCCTGCGTCCTAACAATTATATTTTCAGGGAAGGAATGTTCAGCATCGTGATATAATTCTGCTGCAGATTTAATGAGCGGTGGGGATGCCCGGTGGGAAATGTATAATTACCGGCGTACGGGATTAGACGGAACCCGGTGTTTTTCGATGTTTATTATGTCGAGGCCAACCGCCAATTGGTTGCGATGAAAAGGCGGGCGCAGCGTCGTATGATCATCTCCGCGTTCGCGCTCAAGTGGGACTGCGTGACGCGGTGATTAATTTCTCATAATTTATGACGTCGTCCAGTGAGAGCGGGAATTAGCATTGTTAGTAGCCGGATTAGAAGATCCGACGCTGCGGTGGATTAAGCGCCGTAAACAACCGTTGCTGATATGCAAGGTGTTCCTAGTTAGTGAGTTTTACATGGTTTTTTATTAATGTGTAATAACACATGTGTATAATGCGAGCGGCATGACGACACGCTGGTAAATGTGGAAAGTGCTGCGCAATGTGTGGGTGTATGTCCGTAATAGCGCGTTCGACAGATCGCCTACAGGGTGGAGATCATCGTTTCCGCGGTAAAGCAACGCTATTACTCTGGATTATTAATTTTATTCGGCATAGGAGGGCAGAGTGCACTTTAGCTAATCGGATTAAAAGCCTGCTGTTTGACCCTGAAATTTTCCGCAAGACAGTTCAATGATTACCGCGCGATCTATAAATTTAATTCGTTATTTATTAATATTATTATTATTATCCTAGTACAAACACCCGTGATTGCATATGAATTTAAACACATGTGTGTAGCAGTCCAAAACGTCATTTCAGAAGTCTACCGACAACACACAGGCGCTCTTCTTAAAGGTCACTTTTCAACTCAAACTTACAAAGGCCACAAGCAACTGTACACCATTAACAACTGTGCTACATTTTGTTTTTCGGCGAAACTACTGTATTTTCCCATTAGTGCTGAGGCAGCGTAAAGGTCACGGCTAAGATGTAATAAGAATTGTCACATTCAGCTCAAACTTTCAACGGTCACCATCTACACCTCATGTTTGCGTTGCAGGTTACACGGAAACCTGCTCGCTGATGGACGCCTGCTCCGTCGTCACCGAGCGCTGAGTCACCGGCGTATACTGCGTCGAGGTGCGGACGCCGCCCCACAACATATCCTGACCGGCGGCCGGACTCCCGTTTTCCGCCCGGCAGCACACTTGCAGCAGCGATTCCATCAGCGTGCAGTACAGTAATCCGTAGAAGGTAGCGGCTACCACCCGGATACTGCCCAGACGGCGGGCGCGCTCCTCCAGCCGGCGTTTCTCCTCAGTGCGCAACCACCGGGACAGCTGGAAATCGGGCTCCGGGGGCGCGGCTTCGTAGTGGAAGAGCGCCACGGCCGACAGGACGGAGCGGACGAGAAGCAGCGCGATGCCCATGGTGGCCACGATGGCTAGGAGGGTCCCGATGGCCCGGGTCAGCGGCCGCCCGTGGCACGTTAGGTTCCAGAATTCTGTGAGGAAACCCAGGCCGGCCATGATAATCCCGATGTACTCCAGGATGTTGTGGTCGGGATTGGGCGGAGCCAGGTGTGGCGCTAAGGCTAAATCTAAAAATAAACGATTGTAACGGAACACTACAGAATTGTTGTGAGAACGACCTTTTTGGGGTTTTCTGTACTACGATCGTTTTTTCGATAACTCGGAAAAGAAACACACATCACAAGATTGACCGTCAACTGCTCGTTCAGAATTAAGGTTTTCATGACCGCAAAATTAAAGATAATCTGTTACTTATATTTTTGTTTAAATTTTTTAGCTATATTATGTTTTATAAATAAATATTTCTTTATAAACCTTTTGTACTTTTAATTTAGAACCAAGTATAACTTAACACTGAACTACAAGAAAACTACATTAAATTATTTATTATTTACTACATTAAATTATTTATTATTTACTAGAAAACTACATTAAATTATTTAATATTTACTACATTCATTAAATAATTTGTAGAAAGTAATCAAATGGCGGCGCGTGGGAGGTGCTGATAACATGGCAAAATTTTCCTATTTAAAATCAGCAAATGTTTTTGATGCAAAATCATCGAGTTACCAAAAACTAAAACTCTTTTCAAAGTCTGTCTCACTGTCTCACAAAACACCAGCATATTTGATTATGTGTTGTGTAACACGAAATACCACACTTGACTTACCGGCAATTTCCGACAGGATAGCCCCGAAAGCGAAGCCTATTCCGCACATACGGGCGACGGATGTCGCCGGGACTTTCATCATATAGGAATAAATCTGTTTACTCTGTGTGCACATTTTAAAGGCGCCCACTTTTGCCGGCATAGTTGTGTGGCGTGTGCTAAAGATTTCCGATTAATTTTGAAAGTGACACTTACTGTGAATTATGTAAGGATATATAAACTACGAACGCCGCTTCTGTAGCATTATAAAAGCTTAGCTGTCATCCACAACAATTAAAGCTCATTAAGCCGAAAAACATAGTATATTGCTTGTAATTTTTTTCTGTATTTTGGCATTACACTTCGTTGAATCTTCGCACGTGACACGAGCCGCAACTGCGGCAACAATTTGCCTTAATTACACATTGCATTGACAATCTGCGATAATTCGACCGATCGTGTGATGCGGGCACGCGATCCGCGCTGAATGAGAATTAATTAGACGCCTGTTAATATTCCCTCCAATCAGAAACTCCCGTTCCACTAATACTCGTAATCAAAGGGTCGCAGCATCGGCTTCATATTAACCGGCGGATAATGCTGCGCCGGTCGCATGGGCACGGGGAAAGGCCGCTGCATCGGTCCCGGGTACGGCCTACTGGGAAACGGGAGCAGGAAGAACTGATCAATCTGCAGGATATTCGGCAGAGCCCCTATGGGCTTATTAACCGGTCCATAATTGGGTTTTCCGTAATTCGGCGGTCCATAATTCGATGGTCCGTAATTCGGCGCGGCCGCTTCCGCATGGTAGGTGACGCTGCGGCCGTTGAGCGGCTGCGGCGGCCGGTGATTATCCTTTAGATGTTCGGAGCGGGTGCTGTTCTCCCAGAGACTACGGAAGACGTTCATCTGCGCTTCGCTAACCGATAGTGTATGCTCCAGAACCGACCATATGGCGCTCTCCGTGCAGGGCGGTGTGGTCAATGAACCGAGGTAACGAAAGAAGGAGCGGGGGCGCGGAAGGAGGGCCTCCAGCAGGAGATCCGGGAGGGTGACATTTACCGTGTCGCCTACACACCGGCAAAGGTCATCGTGGTTAGCACGCCATTTTCTAATTATCTGCAGCAAAATAAGCCTGTGGGCGTTATAAATATCCGCAACGACCTCCTGGATTCTGGAGAAAATCCTGATCATGTTATTCACTGAAGGGCGTGCAGGCGGTGCTAAGCGAGCCATGAAAAAAAACATGACGCAGGTCCAGCTTTACGTCAAACTGGCCTTCATTCAACGATAAAATGTAAGAGAATTCGTCGTTAATTAAATAACGGGATTTAATTAAACAATATTAATTTTAGTGACGCTTATTTGCGTCCCCGCCGTCCGGATACTCGGGGCAGCCAGCCATTTAACGATTTAACGTCTCGCGTTAACGTTAAGGTCAATTTAGAATTTAATAATTATTAGGCTGTCTGACGCTGGTATATACTGGTGCAGATTTGATTAAATAAAGGTCAAATTTTGCAAAACACTACGGACGTACGTACCAGGAGACGGCACACGACTGACGGCGTCGATGACCTCTTGGAAGGCCGGGTTATGGGGCGCCGCCATACGGCCGGGTATACTGCGGAACAGCACACTGACCACAGCCAATCCCGTGCCATCCACCGTGTTACTGGGCGCGGCGGTGGTCGGCTGGGGAGTGGGCCCAAAGGGATAGCGGTACGCCATGGAGGGAGTCACTTTCTGATGTACCAGATGGAGCTACATGCCCAGTAAATAAGACATTATTAAATATGTATTTCTACCAAACCGTAAAGATTGTTTGCGACATGATGTACTATATGGTAAGTACTTATGACATAAGTACTATGGTTGCATGCATAAATGTTTTATATTTTTATACACAATATCACCTCTAAGGGAAAATATTCCCCGTTGATGGAGTGCTCGGACCCGCGACCTTTGACCGCTCCCCAATGGAAATGAAACTGCAGGAAACTGTAGTATCCCGGCAGACCGCCATGGCTGATCCCGGGCGTTTCGCGGTGGCTCATCCAGTTCACCGCCGAAAATTGTACTATCATTTAAATTAAAAAATTGCTGGTCTTACCGGGTTTTTAGTAGTAATGGCTCTGTACATGTACAGGCAACAAAATATAAATAGTACAATCAACGCGTGTGCAACATCGAGTACATTCACGGAGAACAGCACGCGTAAATTATCATTAAATGATCAAATGAAGTGCTTAATAAAAATTTTAATTTTATTTAGCTTTATTATGTCTCATCCTTAGCACGTACTCGCTGCGTCAGATTTTTGTACAGCTGTCCGGATAATAATATGTCTACTGTATGTACGCTGAATTTATTGACCACGGAGCGCTGAGCTGTTGTACGTACATACGTATATACGTATACAGCGCAACTCTGGGTAGCCGAACAAAAATCGTGACCAATCGTGTCACCAAATGCGCTGATTGGTCATATACTCATATGCACCATGTGTATACGTGCTGACCTGCGTGTCCGTTATTGGTGACGGTCCACAGCGCACCCGCTGGATAAGCGTTATACGCCTCGAAATGCACGGACTGCAGGCGCGGATCGAAATGGATCTTGGTGGTGTTGATGTCGATGGGGGACTGGCGCTGGCCCCCGCAATCCGGATAGGCTTTGGCCCAGTTCTCGGGGCGGGCTATATGGGCACCGCACAAAAACACTGGTCAGCTGGAAAATTTTTCGAAAGCCACGAAGCCCCTATGGCTCTTTGCTGACTTACAGTTGGGATCATTTTCATCGTAATTCCAGTGCAAAGGAAAGTATGGATTGGGCGTTGTCTGTCCTAGTTATCAGCAAAGAAAACCATCCGTCAGGTTTCAGCTACCGTAGTACGAGCTGCAAACCGCTGCATCATGGAAGTTAAGGGCGTTTAATTTTGCTGATTACCTTGAACTAAACCACCGTACAAGAACACGACGAAGTACAACCTAATCTTCATATTCTGCATATCAGTGGCATTCACAAGAGAATAAAATTTGGAGAGTACAACGTGAGAATAGAATTACTTATAAAAGCATTAAAACTAGTGACTGAAATTGCCTGCGAGTTCAGCTTAACAATGTTCTATAAAAAGGTCAAAGTACTGCAGTGAAATCTTATGACGCTGGAAGCATGATAGTAACAGAAAATAGCATACTTGCTTCTACAATTCTACTGTAGTTAGATACGTACATAAGCAGTATTATTATTTTTATTAATATTAAGTACGTACATACTTATGTTTTGTTTACGGTACTCGTACTATCACAATAATAGTTTTACGATAAAACAGTACATACACGTATTTTTGTGAAATCCCATGAGTCCGCGCTTTTTTTTGGATGAAAATGGGTTGCGTTCTGTATTTCCAATGGCTTCTGCAACTAAGCAACTTTGTTATAACGAACCCCGCCTTTGTACTTGGTATTTTAAGCGTGTTACACGCTTTTAAAAACCTAATTACGTTGTTTAAATGCTGAAATAAACAGTCTTGTACAAGGTCTTGTAAAGTAGAATGAACAGTCTTGTACAAGGTACAAGTACGCGATCTTTTAAGGATTGTAAAGAGTAGTATCTATACTGTATAGATGTACGTATTTATCTATAATAAGTACCACTGTACCATATCTATACTTCGAAGTATTTCATGCGGGTGTAGCGTAATTCATTACAGTACAAATTAAAAAAATTAGTAAGTAAGTACTGTATTTACACAAGTTTAAGAGCCACCAAAATGGCGGAAGCCTTAAACAATTTACAGTACGTAATAATTTTCAGTGGATACAAAAACTATGAAAACTTCATTACGTACAGAATCTGCAGATATAGAATCGCGTAGCGATTTTTATTTCCTTTCAAATATTCCTGTTATCAAATTTCAATAACATGTTTTCGAATCTTCATGCAATTTTTTTCATGTAAACTGTAAAATGAGTATCGTACCAAAACAAGAAAAGTAAGTTATTAAATGTACAGTACATAATCCGGTACATATGTACAATACACTGTGTACATTACATATTCCATGCTGAACATCGGTGGCACTGGGACGACCCCCGCGTGGTGGCGGCTTGATTACTGCAAACACATCGCCTTGCGCATTGATCAGCAACTTTCCCGCATTAATTTTCACAGATCACTCACTGTCGCTGCTTTCAGTTTTCAGCTTTTCTGTTTTGACTTTTAAGTATTTCTTTTTACAAAGAAAACTTTCAACATCGCAGACCTCTTAACTGCATGACAAAATTTCAGTTCACCAGGAAAACAGTAACGATAGCTTGTTCATGATCGTTCCAACACGTTGATGCTGCGCTTACAATTGTAAGACTTGTTTATTCCGTCTATACTGTGTGCCTGGAGAAATGCTCGCCTGAACCTGTGATTTTCCGCTGCAACCCCCCTCCTCCCATGGATCGCCGCGACGAGATCCTGGCCCGCTACCGCACCCCTCCCCCCGCCGCCCCGCCATCCCCGGGGGCGGGGGCGCCCTGCTACATCGGCGTCCAAGTGCCCGAGACCACGGAGACCACCCCCCTGGTCCTGCAGCGTCTCCCCGCGCCCAAGGACCTCCTGGCCCTGTCCCCCGCCACCCGCTTCAAGCCCTTTCCCGAGTATGAGAAAGCGGCGCAGTTCTCGCAGTTCCAGCTGGCCGTGGCCGTCGACGGGAATATGCGGCGGGCGGCGGAACCCAAGAGCCCCTTCCCCAGCCCCACGGCCGAGGAACGGCAGCAGTTCATGGAGTTATTGGGGCAGGGGGATGCGGTGGGGGTACGGCGGATGGCGTGGAAGAATCCGCGGTTGCTGATCACGTCGGATGATGCGCCGCAGTATTTCAAGGGGACCTGGCGGCAGACGGCGCTGCATCTGGCCGTGCAGAACGACAATTATCCGCTCTTCTGGTACGCTGCTCATTATTTTATCAGTTTTCTTATTTACAGTTATTTTATAAATAAATTTTTTATTATAATATTTGGTATTTTATCTGTTATCGTCTTGCTGTCTTTACTTTCTGGTAATTGCTTGTTTTCATTGATTTTCCCTGAATGTAATAGCTTGAATTTTTCATTGATTTTCCCTGATTTTTTTCGTCAAATTTTCTGCACGCTGCTGATTATTTTATAATGTTTTTAAAATTTTACATTTTTACAATTAATTTTATTTAATTTTTTTTATTTCATATTTTATAGTTAATTTCCAATCATTTTAAATTGTGTCTACAGGCCTACAGCGCAGGATGCTTTTGTTTTATTTTAATTGATTATGTATTTTTTGCTCATGTTATCTTTTGATAATGCCAGGATTTTTCAGGAATTTTCGTTGATTTTTTTCCATCAGTTTGTTGATTAATTGATAAATCTTGCTCTGTCATTCTGACTTCTTTACGGATAATGAAGGTTTTTTTAATAATTTTGTCAAATTCTTGCGTTTGTTATTTATCGCGTTTTTCGTAATCCCATTTTAATGTTCGTGAATTATCTGGTAATTTTTTTTAGGAAACCGTTATAGGCACCCCCTAAAACCCCCGTTTATTATAGGCACCCCTTTTCACACCCCGTTTATTATAGGCACCCTTTTTAATTAATATATGTGTATATAACAGATTTAGTATTCTCAAATGGCAATGCAGTTTTATTCGGATAATAGTATAAGGATTCTTTCTGGCGTCGAGACGGTCGAGTTACATACATCATTCTTTCCAGCCTATAATAGGACGGTTAGGCAAATCAGCCAGCGCAGAACGAATTGGTATGGCGTCTTCTATTGTGACTAGAAGGTCATCTTTCGCTGTAGCCAGCTCATTCACCGCCTTACTCCCGAGCCGTTTAGGACACTTTCTCAGCCTGTGCAACTTCTGCCAACCATTCCCTTTGAGCTGAGGCTTTTGCGAATACAGTGTTTGCCGGCGACACTCCAGAGATCAGTTCAGCAATGTAGGAACACACCATCGGGCCGCACTGATTAGACCCGGCAACTGAAGCTGGATAATCGGAAATACTACGGTGCCCGGATTCTGTTCGCCACCGTAGAGCATGGACAGCTGCAGTTGGACGTGCGGCGACAGCGGACCATTCAGGATGGTTTCGTCGGCTATGAGTGAATGTCCGAGCGCCAACACCTTTATTTTCGTATTCTCTGTGGTGCACGCATTCGTAGAAACTTTCTGTACTTAAGGGACGGCTCCAGAGCTTCTCCGTTCTTGAACTTTTCGGACCGTCGTATTATGAATGTTTGGAACGTCGCTTCCTGATACGCCTTAAAGTCTTTCTCGAATGCTTCAAATGAAGGATATTCGTCCTTCAGTTCAGCGACGTTGTCGAGCAAGGGGAATACTAAATCAGTTAGGTCTTCCGATGGCCCCGACACCGGAGGGCTACTTGAACCCGCCATAATAATTATGATATTTGCCGGTACTGAGAACATAATTATTGATACCTATGTAATAATTACGTACAGTATGTGTAACCCTATTACACTGACCTTTTGTCCAAAGTAAGTTTTAACGGTCACAGCAACTGTATAAAATGATAAAATAATTTTTGGAATATGTGAATTAAAATCCATTCACATAATATTATTATAACTTCAAATTCAGAAAAGGGTGCCTATAATAAACTGGGTGTGAAAAGGGGTGCCTATAATAAACGGGGGTTTTAGGGGGTGCCTATAAGGGTACCCTTTTTTTTATTATTACTGTTATAATTTTAACAACAGAAACGTGCGCTTTGTTGCTTAGAAGTTTAAATTATAGCCGGCGTAGAGGATTCGACAGCAGTAGGTAATTTTTCGTTTGCCCTTAGAAATAAAAAAAAATTGTTGATTAAATTTTTTTTCAAGCTTTTTAAATCTTAATTTCTTAATGCTTTTCGATGTGCCGAATAATAAAATGGACGCCCCTCCATTAGCCATCGCTCTACGAATTGCTGATAATTTTGCGTCCGATAGTTATGCTCTAGCTGGTGTGCGCATTGTATGGCAATGTATGCCGTTGCCTTCTGCTTTCTTCTTCTTCCCCAAACGGATAAAGGAATTTTTTTCAGCTTCTCTATATATTTTTTATTTTATTCTGAATTTATTTATTTATCTGTATTTATTCTGAATTTTATTTATTTATCTGTATTTATTCTGAATTCTGTTGATTTATCTGTATTTAATTTTAATTTGTATTTCCGCTCTTTCTGTATTTTATTGCACTGTTTTATCCCGCTTAGTACCATAATGGAGTTGATCGAGAGCCCCGCCCTGATGGAGGCCACCCGCATGACGCCCTTCGAGAATATCGCCGAGCGCGGCAACGCGCTGGTGCGGAACTTCCTGAACAACCGCAACAAGAAGCAGGAGGCCGTGCTGGACTGCGCCGTGGCCTACGGTGCACTGCCCATCGTCGACTTCCTCACGCTGCACCCGCTCTGCGATCTGACCGTGGCCGGACGGACCGCCGAGGACAACCGCGCCCTGGCCGGATGCAAACGCAACGCGCACAATGCGCCGGCCATTCTGCAGATGCTGGAAGGACGATGGTGAGCCCCATCGTACAATCCATCGTAAAATATTTAAAAATAAATTATTATAAATTAAACAAATAAATAAATTAAATTATTAGTAGAAGACTGGCAGAATGGTTAATAAACAGCCGAATGCGAATTGCCAATAAGAACGTAATAACATAAAACTTTAATGAATAATTGATATGGAAACAAGCAAAAGAAATAAATATAGATTTAAGCACCAATGAAAGGAATAAAATCAGCAGTGACAAAACATTTAATGTTAATTAATCAGCAAATTATTAGCGCGGTAATGAATATGTAAGTAAGTGATTCAAATATTCCTACCATTTCAAAATGGTGGAATTTTCTGGGAAAAAATGCAGGTAAAAAATTCGGAATTTGATAAACCTGGATTTCAGTGTGAAATCTGGCAAAACGTTTCCGGAAAAAATTACAGATAAATGTTTCTGTGAAAATTCGTGGTAGATTTTTCTGGAAAAAGTTTCTGATTTTCGACGCATCATTATTTAGAAATTTGGAAAAATAAATTTGCGCAATGTGAAAAAATACATACCAATTTTTCGAACGATAGCTTTTTCTCTCTAAATTGCACGGACTTGGCAGGAAATATAGCTTAGTTGCCATTGTACTACGCTTTCATCTCTAAACCTAAAACTGGTCGTAATACTCCAGCATGCCGTCCTGCTGTCGTTCGTCGTCTTCTTGAATGTTTAATTAAGAGGTACTTAGATTAATTGTTTAATTAATTCGTAGTTCTGGTAGTGGTAGATACTTAAATTAATTCTTTAATTAATTGGTTGGTACTCTGATTAATTGTTTAATTAATTGGTGGTAGACATCGTCGTATTGGTTTTCTCAGTGAAGATCTGGTAAAATACAAACCCGGTTAAAATGTAGGTATGTCCCGGTGTTCGGGCAGTCGGATGTGTTCCCGCGGGGGACGGTGGGCGATCCGCTGCCGCCGGGGAAGATGCGGGATGCCCTGCACGAAGGCCTGCTGCACGGCTTCTTCGGACCGACCACCCTGGACGAGTGCCGGGACTTCCGAGCCTGTCTTGGTACTTTCACCGAGAAACGCCGGAAATCGGTGGAGACGGCCGCCCAGGGCGACAGTGTGCAGTGTAACGGCCGGCTGGAGTATCAGAGCGTCGAAGCCGAGTGCCGGCGCGTGGCGCACGCTGTCAGCGGTCCGTGGAAGGAGTACTGGGGATTTCTGCAGTGCTTCACGGATATCCGAGCGGAGATGGGGTTGTTTAAGCTGGAGAAGTTTCTCGCCGAGAAGGATGCACGTAGGTCGCCAGAAAATGCAGAATGATATAATACGGCTGCGGCTTGCGAGAATAAATAAATTGTGTGTAAACGTAGTGCGATGGCTTCATGCTTTAGTTCGGCTATCAGTTTTGTTCAGTGCATTTTGGATAAAATGGATTTCGTTCGATTCTTGAAATATTTTATTAATACAGGTTTTTTTTTTCAAATCCTTCGAGCTCGCCAGATTGAAGTGTGGTTAGATATAGACAGCAATTAATACGAGTAACAATAATGATAAACGTCAATCGAATAATTAAAAATAATAATCGAATAATTAATCATCATAATCAGACAATTGATAATAATTAACGTCAGTCGAATAAATGATAATGATAATCCAATAATTAATAATAATACTAAAGCGGTTAATGGTAATAATAATTAAACAGTTAAATAAAAATAAACGCCAGTCAAATAATTAATGTCGTAATGAGCCGAAATTACCCTTGCAGACGCGCTGCCCGCCCGCTACTTCGCCCCGGCGCCCGCCATCGCCGGGCGG